GCAGTCTTTGTCTGCTTTTAGAACTTCAAAGTCTTGGTCAGTGGCTGATATACTCTCCTATCTGCAGGTGGTTTCTCCTATCAACCTCTCAGCAATCAGTAAAATAAACCAAAAAACGTGACATGGAATTGTACTGGGAAACTAAAGTAGTAAGGCACTATTAAAACCCTTGAAAGCATCTTTTTTTTCTAATGGGGCCTTTTTAAATAGAGCCTTACTGCCAAGGAACAAGGGACAAAAGAAAGAATTTCTGGGTACGAGATGCATCTACAGTAGGCAAGAGATAAATGCTGGTTTTCCTAGAAACATGAGCTCAAGACCAGTAGAAAAATGCCTCACTACACATTTAGCTATGCTGGTATTTCATCCTCTCTACCAGATCTGCCTAGTATCAGCTAGACACTCCATCACTCAGTTTCCTCAACTGTAAAACGGGGCCATACTTTGACAATTCTGGTTTTGACATAATGATGTCATCCTCAATCAATGGTTTTAGAAAAACACCGGCCATCCTCTGGCCCCAGTATCTATCAATAACATACCATCTCTCCCGGTAAAGATTGTTATTACAGTGATGAGGAGGCCACAAGCTCTGCTTCACACAGCATTTCCTAAACTTTGGAAAGTAGCATAACCTTTCATGTAGCAGCCTCCCTTTGCCCTTGCTGTGTGCCCACCACAGATGCTGCTTAACTGTGTCAAAGACTACAGCGCTACATTGTATCTCATGCTATGCAGTTTTATGCTCATCCTTCCCTCCGTGCTCTACCTATGACCTTCCACCACCCCTGCCCCACAGCTGTGAGAAATGCTGGTATGCTCTGCAGAAAGAGACACTTCCCCTCTGTACCTACTCACTTGGATGAACACTGAAATAATTCAAACCTCAGCATTAACCCTCTCATTACTGGAGCCAGCAGTTGTTGAAGGGGGTTTAAGTGCCTCCCAATGCAATCACGATATGGCAGAATGTGCTCACGGGCAGCTACCACAGCTCAGATGACAAGCAGTAAATTGTTACATCAAGCTGTTTGGATCATTTCTGACTGCTGACCCACACCCCGGGGGCTGCCACAGCTGCTTTGGATACATTTGCTGCTGTTTCAGAATTTCTACCACGAAGGATAATTCTGTTTTAGCGGAAGTTGAGAATCTAGAGAGACAGTGCAGTCTCCTGCCAGTCCACCAGGCACCTCAAAGCGCCACCCACCCTGCCTGAGAGGCTACAATTTAAAAAACAACTCCCAGAAATGAAAAATAGACAAAGAGGCAGTAAAACGTTGTATCAAATAACACGAACACTGGAGAACACCCAGTCCGCCCTCTCCACACACAAAGCGCCTGGATAAGAGCAGCCAGATCCCAGACTATACCAGCTTATCGGGACATCATAAGGCAGAAGAGCAGATTTGACAGCTGCAGGCCAAATGTGTCCTACAAAGCACTGCACTGCTGGAAGCAGCTGCCCTCATCTTTACAGCAGATGTCCATCCTGTGATGGCTTTGGTGTCTGGTGTGACACGCTCCATCACCAACTCATCTGAAATAGAGCAGATCCCACAGGCCTTATCTCAATCTCCCTCTCTGTAGCCCAGCAGGTGGGGGTGCAGCCAGAATTAACCCAGTGAAGATGAGAAGCTGCCTTTGCTAGTCTTGCTTATACCTCCTCCCATGATGTCCATTTGCATGAATCCAGCCTGTGTCCAGAGGGCTCCTGGACAAAATAAAGCTGTGCCCTTGGGAAAGCTCCTTTCCCACTGCTATTTCCTTCTGCCTGTGCTTTCTGCTCATGCTGCATCCTCAGCAGCTGCTCCCCACCCACAGCATACTCTCCCTCACCACCCTTCACCCACAGACCCAGTCCAGTCCTCACTGGACTTTGCCAGTATCCCACTTGTCCCACCCCAACTACTCTGGCATCTAAACCCAACATGTTTCCAACACCCTGGTCCATCATCCAACCTTCCCACAACCTCAATTCAGACTGCAGTGTACCCTCACCACTTTACCTGTATCCCAGCATTGCCCTCCACCCAAGACCCCAATTTCTTCCTTCAATCCACACTGCTACTTCTCAAACAATTAACTTCTCTCCTCCAACACTTCTTTTTTCCCTGGGATCTCTTTTTCTCCCATCAGCATCAAAACTCAATTCCCATCCCTTCCCCCAGTGTATTCTTATTTTTTCTTTTCAACCCAGATTGTCCTTCATCTCCCCAGCCCCTGGCAGAAAACCCTAGAGCACAGAAGAACCCAGCAAACTATCCTAGCCAGCCAACACTGACTGGGTTTTCCCAGTGACTCACCAGACTGTCCATCCCACCCAACTGGCAGTTTTCTTTCAGCCTCTGAGCAGTTTGTCTCAGTCTGCCCATTCCTGAACACGCAACCCCTTCATCCAGGCCTCTCTGCCATGACAGAACTCCCGTTCTAAGGCTGTTTACCAACAACCAGCCCTTGCACCTCAGCAAGCTCTCTGGTAGCTCCCTCATGAACTCCTACAGCCAGGATTCAGGTCACAGCGTGGCCTCTTCCCACCTTGGTTGGGCTGCCCAGTGTCCCTTTACAGCCACAGATGGTCCCAGGCTCTTCATAGTCAATCCCTGAACACTGCCCTCCATCCTTGCCAGGCTCTTCCATTGCTCCTTCCTTCCTCAGACCAGGTGGGCCACTGCCATCCTGCTCTTCAGCCCTCTCAAGCACCCAACCCTCCATTACACCCTCCAGACCTTGACTGAATCAACTCCAAGCAGGCTGATCCCATCCCCCCACAGCATCCTCAGATCTCCCAGCCCCTGCCAAGATCCAACTCACAGAATCATTTAGGCTGGAAAACACCTCTGAGATCACTGAGTCCAACCTATGGCCCAACACCACCACGTCAACTAGACTGTGGGACTAAATGCCACATACAGTCTTTTGTTGAACACCTCCCTGGGCAGCCCATTCCAACATCTTATCACTTCTGTGAAGAACTTTCTCCTAATGTCCAATCTAATCCTCTGCTGGCACAACTTAAGACTACGTCCTCTCATCCTATCACCAGTTGCCTGGGAGAAGAGGATGACTGCCACCTGGCTACATCCCCCTTTTAGGTAGTTGTAGAGAGTGACAAGGTCCCCTCTAAGCCTCCTTTTCTCCAGGCTAAACAACCTCAGCTCCCTCAGCTTCTCCTCATAGGACTTGTGCTCAAACCCTTCACCAGCTTTGTTGCCCTTGTCTGGACTCAAGCCCCTTCTCCATGTCCCTTGTAATCTCTGTGTCCTGCCAGGGCCCCAGCCAGGGTCTCCCACGGCTGGAGGCCACAAATTTACACTGTTCTCATCCCTTTGCCTGGGTGTCCCCAACCTCCACATCCCAGGGCCCCCCACTCCCGACCAGACACCCCTGCCCCACCAGGTCCCTGGCACCCCCCACTCTGCCCAGGTGGGCACTCAGATCCCAGGACTGCCATACTCCCGGGAGGGTGTCACAGCATCACAGAACAGGACAGGCTGGAAGGGACCACAGCGAGTCATCTGGTCCGACCTCCCTAATCAAGCAGGGACACCCTAGAGCACATGGCACAGGATTGCATACAGACGGTTCTGGAATTTCTCCAGTGAGAGAAACTTCACAGCTTCTTTGGGCAATCTGTTCCAGTGCGTGGTCACCCGCACAGTAAAGAAGTTCAAGTGGAACTTCCTCTGCATCAGCTTGTGCCTGTTGCCCTGTGCCCTACTGCCCGGCATCACTGAGCAGAGCCTGGTCCATACTCCTGGTCCCGTCCTCTCGGCACACCCCTTCATGGCCCCAGGCCCGCCAGTGCCTGCCCTGGGCCCCGGCCGGGCCCGACAGACCCCAGGTGGTGCCTCCGGCCCTCATTACCCTACGCTCCGGGGCGGTGACGCCCGTGGCCCTTTAGGCCCCCCGTGCCCCGTGCCCCGCGCCCCCCCGGGCCCGTCCCGTCCCGGCGCTGCCCCCGCCCCGCTCACCATCCTCGGCGCGGCCCGGGGTTACCATGGGCAACTGCGTCACACCCGCCCCGCGCGACGACGTGCGCGCGCCGGGGGGCGGGGCCACACTCAGGCCCGGCCCTCCAAGGAGCGCATGCGTACGAGGGCGGCCCCCCCGAGGGGAGGTGGGCACGGCCGCTCGAGGCTCTGTGATTGGCTGAGGGCGGCCACGCGCCGGAGCGCGGGGGCGGGACATGTGGGCGGGAGAGGGGCTCGGGGAGCGCAGGTGGGACACGTGGGGACGGGACGGGACGGGACGGGAGGGGAGGGGAGGGGAGGGGCGGGGCGGGGCAGGGCAGGGCAGGGCAGGGCAGGGCTGGGCTGGGCTGGGCTGGGCTGGGCTGGGCGGTGGGTGTGGTGTCCGGGACCGTGCAGAGCCGAGCTGAACCGGGCCGGGCCGTGGCGGACTGGAGGTGTGCCGAGCCGTGCTGTGCTGTGCCGGGCCGTGCCGTGCCGTGCCGTGCCTTCCAGAGAAGGGCAACGAAGCTGGTGAAAGGTTTGGAGCTCAAGTTTTATGAGGAGCGGCTCAGGGAGCTGGGGGTGTTCAGCCTGGAGAAAAGGAGGCTTAGGGGAGATCTTATCGTTCTGTACAACTATCTGAAAGGAGGTTATAGCCAGGTGACAGTCGGCCTCTTCTCCCAAACAGAGTGCTCACAGGGCAGGGCTGTGCAGCCCTGGGAGGGGTGAGCTGGGCCCTACAGTGCTGTGCAGCATGTCCTACCCCAAGGAGGGGGTTCTGGGTGCTTTAGGAGGCAGCACACATCCCCATGTAAGTGGGATGGTGTGTGGAGGAGCAACCTCGCTGCAGTGTTCTGCTGGCAGCAGGGGTGCAGGAGGCTTCCAGGCTCGGGGCTGCTGAAAGTCCAACTATCCCGTTAAACATAAACCTGCCCTGGCTCTCACCCAGCTGACCGCTCCCATGGCCGTGGCAGGCCTGCACTCAATGAGCAAGCGAGGCAGGATCCTACTGAGTCACCTTCTTCCCTTGGACAGACCCAGAGCAAAATGGCCACTGTTCCACTTGGCTTCAACATCGATGCCCCGCGCTGGGACCAGAGCACCTTCGTGGGGCGCCTGAAGCATTTCCTCAACATCACCGACCCGCGGACAGTGCTGGTGCCAGAGGAGGAGCTGGACCGGGCCAAGGCCCTGGTGGAAGGCTGCAGGTGAGGGGCAGGGGTACAGCCAGGGCAGGTACCATCCCTGTGCCTGTTGCCATACCTGACCATTCTGCAGTGTTGCAGGCGGATGGAGGCAGTCATTTGCAAGCAGGTACACTGTGACTTAACATCCCCTGGAGGCAATTTTGGGAGAGTTTCCCAGGCTTTTCCCAGGAGCCTTAAGCTGTAACATGTATCTCTTGTGGGAGATGTTTCCTCTGCCTTTCATGTATGATGGCCGGGGCTCTGCGCTCCGGCAGTGCCAGGTGCTGGCAGGTCTGTGCAGCTTCCCCAATAGGCTTTGGGCTTGCAGGGCCGGACTGGTGCCACCAGGAAGCAGCCAGGAGCAGCTGCTCTATGCCAAGAAGCTGTACGACTCAGCCTTCCACCCTGACAGCGGTGAGAAGATGAACCTCATCGGGAGGATGTCCTTCCAGGTGCCAGGGGGCATGGCCATCACCGGCTGCATGCTCCAGTTCTATCGGTGAGCTCATGGGTTTGCCAGGCTGGTTTGCCAGCCCCTCAAGAGGTCCTCTGATGGCTGGAGTGTGGCCAGTCTGCCTCTTCTGGGGCTGGGTACTGCCCAAGGCATGCCCATGGCTGCTGTGCTTGCCTGTGTCCCATGGCCAAGCCCCATGCATGTCCCTGTGCCCTGTCCCCAGCACCCAGCCTGTGGTGGAAGCATCACAGATCCCCTCGGCCCCTGGCATCGCTGAGGATGGTCTCACTTCACACCGAGCTCAGCTCAGCTCTTCCCAGAGTTCCTGTAGTGATTAATGCAACCAAGTCCTACTTGGCTGCTGCTCTTGATCTGCGGACCATAGCAGTCCTCAGAACTGAGAACCAAATCTGCCCCCAGGCCAGGTTGCTTCAGCATCCCCAGCCCCTGCTGACAGCTCCCTGCATTTACCTGCTGAAATGGCTGCTGGGGGGGTGAGCAATCCTGTCTCCAGACTATGTGGATCATACACTTCCTTTCCCATTGGATCCCCATCCAATCCGACCCCTCTTTGCTAGACTGGTTTGACAGTTGCCGATGAGGTCCAGTCTGGATGGCAGATCTCCCAGTGCCGATGGGTCACCCTCTTCTCAGCCCATCCCCACCTTCCTGCATCCCAAAGCCTGCTCAGCCCCACATCTCCCTGTGTCCCTTCCTGCCCCACTTCCATGTTCCTGAGACACCAGTAGGAACCCAGGCACCCTGGTCCCCCAGAGCCTATTCTGTCCCCATGTGTTCCCTCCTTGCTGCTCCCTTTGACAAAGGCTTATCTCAGCCCAGCAGGATGGCTGCCGCCCTGCTGAGAGCTGCACCTCCCACTCCTGCCTAAGTGCCCTGCAGGCCTGGAACCCCTCCTGTGATCCCCAAAGCCCTAGGGCAGCCAGGATTCCTGGGTCATTTCCCAGCTCTGCCACTGGCTCGTGGCTTTGCCAGGGTTCCTCAGTTTCCCTTTGGAGAAACCATGACAAGTATATTGAGGGCATCTTAGCTGGCTCACTGCCAAGCCTGGCCACAGGCACAGGCCTGGCATCCATGACAGCCCTCGTGTGCTCTCCTGGTCCCTTCCCTTCGCAGGACGGTGCCTGCTGTGGTTTTTTGGCAGTGGGTGAACCAGTCCTTCAATGCCTTTGTCAACTACACCAACCGTAACGCTGCCGCCTCCATCTCGCTGAGGTGAGTGATCCCACGCAAGAATAAGGACCCTCTATGTTGACACCCCCCTGGATATCCTGTAAAGACCACCTATGGCCTTTCTTGGGTACTGAAGGAACAGGGTTGAGTCAGAGTTGGTGTTTCTGTTCTCTCTCATCTTTGGAAATCGCTGTCCAGGCAAATTGGTGTGGCTTATGTCACGGCCACCGGTGCAGCCCTGGCCACCGCAGTGGGACTCAACCTCTACACCAAGGTATGCCAAGCTGGGGCCAGGTGGGGCAGCTAGGCACATCCTGCCCTCCTGCACTGATGCCAGTCTGTCTCCCACAGCGAGCACCCCCCTTGCTGGCCCGCTGGGTCCCCTTCGCAGCTGTGGCTGCTGCCAACTGTATCAATATCCCCATGATGCGGCAACAGTAAGTGTCACGTGCAGACCGGACACTCCAGGAACCCAGCTCCTTCCCAAGGCAACCTGGTGGCAGCCAGGCTCCTAGGCTGCCTGGTCACCCTGCCTTGGATTCCCACCCTAGGGGTTGAAGAGGGTGGGAGGATAGGGGGGAGGTGAACGAGAATCTGTGTTTTTGCAGTGCTGTGTCTCTGGTGGAGGGTGCCGGGTGGGATGGCTCCTGCCTGGAGCAGGAGGGGGATTTTGGGCTGAGGATAGCTGTTCTGCGATCTGGGCTGGAAGATCTCTCAGACCCAAAGGTCTCCTGTGTGTGGTGATGGGAGAGCCCCAGTCCATGATATCCTGGTGCTGGTACACCCTAGGTGGGGCCCATGTGGAGACCTGTATCTGCTGCTTGGGGTCCCCCACAAGTACAGGGAGGTGGGGGGCTGTGTGAGAGACTGACTCCTGGCTTGGCTGCGGGTCCCAGGCAGTGTCAGTCCCTGGCACGGCTGGATCCTGCTCGCAGCTGTGCCCTGAAGATGGCAGCATTGGCTGGGCTGGGACCACAGCATCCCAGGGTGATGGAGCCTTGTGCCCCAGGAGCAGCTGGTGCTGCTGTACCAGCACAGCACTCCCTCACCCCACTGCTGTGTTCTTATGCTTTCCCAACCATCCTGGCCTCCACTCATGGCTGCCTGTCCCCTTCAGGGAGATCATCAATGGGATCACAGTGACAGATGGGGACAACAACGAGCTTGGTCGCTCCAGGGTGAGTCTGGGGATGGAGATCTGGGCTGGGGCACGGAGCTGCAGGGGCTCACCTGCTGCTTTTGCTTGCAGAGGGCAGCAGTGAAGGGCATCGCACAGGTTGTGGTCTCCAGGATCACCATGGCAGCACCGGGCATGAGTGAGTGTAAAGCAGGAGGGTGTGGGACTGGACCACGGACTCCCCTAGGACCCACTACTTTGCCTTCCCTTGCTTCAGTTTCCCCCACGAAGAAGAGGGAGGGTGGCACTGCATCCCAGGTGTCATTTGGTCTCATCCCACAAATGGAGCTGATCTCCTTATCCTGCCATTCCAGTTGGAGTCCCCCAAGCCCCCAGGCTTCCTCATCCCAACGCACAGCCTGTGGGGGACATGGGGTGCTCTCATGGCAGTTTGGCCCCACAAGGACACATCTCATGCTCTCTGGCCCTAGCCCCTCGCTCTGCAGCCCAGCATCCCCTCACCTCATGAGACCCTTGACATGCCGCAGGCCGAGCAGGAGGGATTGGGAGCATGAGGAGCACAGACCATGCTGCCTGGGTGATGAATGTGTGTGGGTTAAGGTCTTTGCTGTGAGCAAACACCCAGTGGCCCTCAGCACAACTAGCTGCTGCCATGGCCTCCAGGTGGACAGTCCTGCTGGGAGAGCCCTGCAGGCTGACTTGCAGGGGGAGCCTGACCTTTTCTCTCTGTACCTAGTTATTTTGCCCATCATCATGGAGCGGCTGGAGAAATTCACGTTCATGCAGGTGAGCTCACATTTCCCCTGCCACAGTTTTCCAGTGGGTTCTGCGGTGCCCCAGCTCTGCTTCCCAGTTGCCAAGATGCAGAGGATGAAGTGGGGGGTTGCAGAGCCTGGCTTGCTTTGCCCCCTACTCAAGTCACCGATGCACCAAAGGTCTCTCGAGTGACATGGAGAGGCTGTGGAAGGGTGGCAGGGTTTGGTGGCACACTGGAGGCATTGGGCATTCAGCACCATTGAGGGGAGAAGTCTGCCCACACTGTGAGCAGGGCTTGCAGTGAGGCCCAGGGACTCAATCCCAGCTCTTCCCTTGCAGCGAATCCGGGTTCTCCACGGGCCTCTGCAGGTGCTGCTCTGCGGGGGCTTGTAAGTATCTCACTGCTCAAACACCTGCGGGTGCCTGGAGCATGGCTCCAAGGGATGCTAGAAAAAATACCTCTTTCCCAGCAGAGGAATGCAAAGCCTTGCCTTTCAGCCTGGGCTTTTCCCAGTTATTGGGAGTCATGAGGTGTGAGCAGCACCTCTTGGGCTGAGATCCCTGTGGCTGGGGGGCATATGGGCTGTGATCCCCAACACTAACGTTCGGCTCTTCTGTCCCACAGCCTCCTGTTCATGGTGCCAGCAGCCTGTGCCCTCTTCCCACAGAGATGGTACCTGTCCCACTTCTTCCCTCTCTTGCATGACACCTCGGGAGACTTCCCCCTCCTCTAGGTCTTCTCTGCCCATCCCAGGAGAAGCATGATGGACACCCACCTTTCAAATCAAGGCAGCGCTTTCCTGTACATGCTGGTGCCCAGGGCAGCAGGAGAGCATGTGCCTGCCCTGCTCTGTGAGCTCTGTGCTGGGAGCAACGGGACACCCAGCTCCAAGGGCAGCTCTCTGCCCTCCAGCACTCGGAGTGGTGGATGCCAGGGATGGGTGGTGGATCTTGACATGAGCCTTCAAGATCCCGGGGAATGTAGAGGGCCTCAAATGGCAATGGGGAGGGAGGGTGGTTTGACTGGTGGCTGGGGAGGAGGATCACAGGTCTCAGTGTCTACCCCCTCTCCCCACAGCTCCCTTGCGCTGGCTGACCTTGAGCTGGAGCTGCGTGACAGCATTGTGGCCAAGCACGGGGACAAAGTGCCGTACGTCTATTTTAACAAGGGACTGTGAAAGGAGATCACCTCAGGAGCCATCACACCCCTCCAGCCCCCTGCCACCGCCAGTACTGCATCCCCTGAGCAGGGATCAGAAGCACAGTCCAGCCAGATCTGCTCCCCAGCCCAGCATCTTCTCTGCTGCCTCCTTCCACTGGAGAAGCAGAATCTGGCTCTGTGTGCCCAGCTTGCAGCACTTTGGCTTGTCCTGAGCCTCCCCCATCTGCTGCTGGCTGTGTCCATGCTTCCCCACATGCCTCTTGCTTTGAGCAATGCCTGTATTTCCCGTGCCTTCCTCTGGCCCAGTGCAGGAGGATCTGCCCACCCTGTCTGAGCCTTTTGTGGTCACTGGACTTGGCCCCACAAGGCATCAGGCTCTCTCACTTGGAGCTCAAAGCACAGTTCTACCTCCAAAAGCAGTTGTCCTGCCATTGTACCAGCAATCAAACCACATTCCTGCCTTAAACCTCCACAGTAGCCTCTTACCAAGACCTGGATCATGCCTTGGCAGGCATGAAGGGACCCGTTGCCTCTGCACAGGGAGTATCCCAAAGTCCAGAGGCCGGTGCTTGGACTATGCCTTCCTTGCTGTCAGGTTCAGGTTTTATTCACTTAGCAATTGCCATAATCCAGGAAAGAAATAGCTAATGGTTTTTAAGCTCTAATTTTTTCATTCCTCTGATCACAAAAGCCAGCCATCACCCTTGTCCCACATCTCACTGTCCCCACAGTAGGACCATGGACCTGCAGCTTTGGGGGACAGTTGTCTCTGTGCCCCCTTGGATGGGGGAAGGAGACACAGGTGTCACAGAATCACACAATTGTTAGGGACCCTCTGAAGATCATCTAGTCTGCCTAGGCAGATGATCTAGTGCCAAGGCAGGGTCACCTATAGCAGGTGACACAGGAAGGCATCCGGGTGGGTTTTGAATATCTCCAGAGAGGGACACTCTACAACCTGCCTGGGCAGCCTATTCCAGTGCTCTACCACCCTCAGTGCACAGAAGTTCTTCCCCATATTGAAGTGGAACTTCTTGTCGTTTAGTTCATGGGCATTACTCCTTGTCTTGTCGCTGGGCACCACTGAAAAGAGCCTGGCACCATCCTCATGGCACCCGCCTTTGCAATATATATGCATTGATGAGATCCTCTCTCAGTCTTCCCCAGACAGGCCCAGCTCCCACAGTTTCTCCTCACAGGAGAGATGCCCCAGACCCCTCATCATCTTCATGGCCTCTGCTGGACCCTCTCCAGTAGCTACTTGTCTTTCTTGTCACAGAGCTGTATTAATTTGGGCTCTGAATACCAGCACTGCAAACAACAGAGGAAGGTTGAAAAATAAATGCAATGATTTTTAAAAAACAGTTGTGGGTTCTGCTCCTGGCTGGTCTCTGAGTGTCTGGTTCCCTGGGCTGGGCTGGGTTGGTATGTGGGTCTCATGCTTGCCTTGAAAGGGAAAGGTGTGGGCTTTGTGACTAACCAGGCACCAGGGTGAGGGTCAGCACAGGGGCCAGGAGAAGGAGAAAGAGTGTAAGGTCTGGCATGAATTCTGAAATCTTTGGGCATCCAATGCAGCATTCCTCAAATGGTTCTTGGGGCTACAAACAGTCCCAAGGCAAGTGACAAAAGGTGACAGTGCTGTGCTCATTGTGACACTTATCCCATTGTGGGAACTGGGGGGATGACACTGGGTGACCCTTCTTACACCCGTGGGTGCTGTTTATCTTCTTGGCCCGGCAGAGTTTGCATGATGCTAACTTGGGTCTGCCATGAGGCCTCTCCCACCCTGAAGAAGAGCAGCTTAAGTTTGATGCAACCTATTTTGGAAGAGGAAGGAGCCCAAGTCCTGGGCTAAAGCCCTTGCTTTCAATCAGCTGCACCCAGGCTCTCTGCTTGCTGATGAACATCCCTCGGTGGGACAAGCGTGTTTCTAACAAGCCGTATGACGTGGCTGCTCCCAGAGCCCCATGGCCCAGCAGAAGGTCCACGCTCCTCTCTCCAGCCAGGGATATATGCCAGATCCCCCAGGGATTCTCACATCGGCTACGTGCCTGAGTAGAGACACATTAACCACTCTGCTCCTACAGAGAGAGCAGATGAACCCTAAAGGTACTTCTCGAAGGGCCAAGCCGTATCCACAAGAGGTTTGCTTCTGCCCAAGCTGCAACAGGCAGAGGATAATGTCTCCAACCACACGTAGCTACAGCTAGAAAGCTGTAAAAGAGCTCTGAAATAATTAATAGGCCAGCAGAAAGTAGGAAAACATGTTCAAACTTGTGTATCTGTTCCCTCGGCATTATTAGATCTCTTGTTAAAGTGGAATTAAAATAACAGATAAGCACATGAGGTGAAACAGATGTCACTCCTATTGGGCGTGGGGAGAAGCCACAAGGAGACATCTCCGCTCTCTGCTTTCCTTAAGCTCCTTAACTCAAGCTGCTCTCCTCCTACACCCAAAACAGCTTTGAGGACTTTCAGAAAGGTACCTCTAGCTGCCTGGGCTGTCTTTGGGTCCAAGGTGCCTCTGGCATGCTTGGGAGCACGGCAGTGCTTGTAAAACAATGTGCTGCAGCATCCTAAAACTGCCCTTCCCCTGTACATCACAGCCAAGCTCTTGCTGTTGACCCTTCCTGCTTTGGCAGTTTGAGGGGGTCCCAGCAGGGCAGAGGGCTCTGCAGCCAGCAATGCTGGGGCAGCAGCCACACGAAGCCAAGCCATGGTGGCAAAGCCTCAGCTGTTTTGCCACTCCTTTATTCCTGTCCCCAGCCATACTGGAGGGGCAATGGAGCACGGAGACCCTTTGAAGAGCTATTGCCATCTTGCATCAGCTCTCCCCTTGCCCTGGGGATTGGGGCATGGTGCAGTTTATTGCTCATGGGCAGAGGAAAAGGATTGCTCTGGGCTCAGAGAATTGTCAAATGATCCTTAAGACAGACCTTCCCCCCACTCTGAGCTTACAGCAGTGGATTCCCTCTTCAGATCGACATGGATTTATGCCAGCTGACAGTTTAGCTCAGCAGGGTTTCTAGGTTTGTAGGTTGTAGCTCAAATCTCCCTGGAAGGTTTCAAGTCATCTCAACAGCTCACATCACTCTGGAGATGGTTGCTGCAGCCTGCGCCTCCCAGCTCTCCCCAAAACCACAGTAACTCCCCAGCCTGCCTTGGTGTCACTGGGGAGCAGAGGGGTCACTGCCAAGCTGTGGCCAGCAAGTCCCCATGTTCTGGCCAGCCTTGCCTCTATTTCTCATCACAACAGAAAAGGAAACCTCATTGCCAGGAGTCAGAGCCAGACTCATTCCCGCTTGTGAAGAACAGCAAGTGTTAATTGCTCTCCAGCAGTGAGTCACACCTGATCTGGGCTTGTCCTGTGCTCTGGCGAACTCGCTGCCCATCTCCCTGCTGTGCCTCTAATTTCAGGGCTACCTGGGAACAGGAATAAAGCTTCTTCAGTAACAGTTTGTGACCGAAATGTCAGTGCTTCACCATGTTTACAACCTTCCTTCAAATGGCAACCGCACCAAAGATGTCATGTTGGTCTGCAGCAGAGCCTGAATACAGGCATGGGGGGCTGGTGGGCTCCCTGAGGCACCAGCAGTCCCAGCAGGAAGGCTTGGCTGACGGCTCCGAGCCCAAAGGCCGGTGGACTCTGGGGAACCGACTGCCATGGAATGAGGAGGGAGCAGGGTCGATGTGCAGTGGGTGAACGCCCATGCCAGGGCAGGCGGCTGAGCTGATCAGGCCGGGCTAGGTGTGCCTGAGTACTGCCCTGATAGAAAAATGCCACGGCAGGAGATAAACTGCTAAGTCGGTTATTTTTTTTCTGGCTTTTCTTAACATGTTATCTGAACATCTTATAAACCTTGTCATGCCAATCCGGCACAGAGGCTGCCTGGCACGCTGGGAGTGGCAGTGTGGAAACCCTCTGACACTGCCCCAGAAACACTGACTGCCTCCTCGGAGCTGTGAATTAATCCCGAGTGCCGGTGCCCCTACTCCTCTTGGGAGTGCAAGGGGTCGCCATATGGAGAAACTCTGGGATCCAGCCGCAATGGGAGATCCTCTTCTCCATGCTGATCCTGTCTCCCAGTGGGGCTGGCACCAACACAAAGCTGCCCACCGGACACCTCGAGTCAAGCATCATGCTGATGCAGCCATCCCAGCACCCTCTCCATGCCCCAGGACCGGGCGGGCTGTTAGGATTTGGGACAATGTGGGAGGAGGCTGAGCCGGGATCATGGTAATCAGGAGTGACCAGGTGAATGGAGGATGAGTGCCTGGCTGCCACCGGGGTGTCAGGGAGGCTGTGGCAGCCAGAGGATGCTAGTGCCCCCCCCCCCCAGCAGTGCCCAGCTCTGCTCCCGAGGTTCCACTGCAAGGGGGTGCAGCCCCCGCACCCCTTTACTGCCAGTTCCGCCACTCACAACATGGCGGCCCGAATCCCACCCCAGGCTCCCTCCCCGCCGCGCCACACTCAAGATGGCAGCTCCCAGTGCGCAAACCCCGCCCCTCACGGTTTTGCTCTAAGCGACAGCGCGCTGAGCCAATAGCGAGCCTAGCGGCGTGCCGCCCGCCCAATAGGTGTGCGGCGGGGGCGGGCCCGGGCGCGGGGTGCCCCTCGGCTCCCGTCCCGGGCCGCAGTCGGGCCGGGCAGGCGGGAGCGGGGGGTGGGGGGGATGGCGAGGAGGCTCCGCGCCGCCATGGCTCTGCTGCTGCTCCAGGCCCTGCCTGAGGGGCTGCCCGCCGGCGTGGAGCCCGCCCAGGTAGGGGAGGGGGCCGCCCGGGGGGCTCTGGGGTCGCGTCGTGGCGGGGGGCTGCGTCCCTGGGACGGGGGGCGGCTGTGGACGTGGGGGGCTGCGCCGGCCCTTGGGACAGCGGGTCCGGCGGGGCTGACAGGGGGTGCAGGGGGTGCCTGGGGGAAGAGGCTTTTGGGGTCCCGCCTGAGGTTTGGGGAGCGCCGTGGCTTAAGTGAAGCTGTAGGAGATGCAGAGCCCTGAGTTCGGGGGTCCCTGTGTGCCGTGGGGACGGAGAGCGGTGTAGGGCTCCAGGAACGGGTGGCAGTGCCGCTCGGAAGGGGTTTGTGCGGCAGGGTGGCTGCAGGACGAGGGAGAAAGGTGTTTGACTGGAGCCCGTGGGAAACGTGTCTGTAGTGAGGGCAGGAGGCTGGAGCTGGCGCGGGCCTGCGGGTGGAGGTGCAGGTGACTTTTGGGGGTAGTGACAGGGAACAAAGTGACCTGCGAGGGGACAGTGCTGAAGGTGGTGTGGGGTGAGCTGGAGGGTGGCAGTGGGACAGCTGGCCAGAGGACCTGGGTCAGCAGGGAAGTGGGACTTGAGTGGTGCTGCCCAGGACAGGTGAGCTGGTCTTCCCGTGCCTGGAACAGCAGAGAGGAGATTCCGTGCAAACCTCCTGTGGGCAGGGTGAAGGAAGAGGGATCATGTTTCAGCTGGGATGAGGGGAACTAGGCCTTGTCTTGGTAGTCTCTGACCACTTGCTTACCGCCTTCATTATGCCTGGAAAGGGTTTTAATGAAGTTGATTCTGTCTTTTTCATCTCTTTACTCTGTTTCCTGTCTATGCTGCAATGTTGATGCTATTGAGATCTCCAGTGACGGTCTTGAGTCCAGCACTGTAGACGCCTGTAAACATCTCCCACCTTGGTGTATGCTCAGTGACACTCGGAGAGGACTGCACTGGGCCTAGCAACCTGTGCACAACCTGGATCTTCTCATTTGTGGAGTCGATATGTCTTTTTCACCCCATGTAGAACGTTGATGGAATGTGATGACTTCTGGTTTGATGTAGTGTATTCTGTGTAAGATAAAAATTGCAGTTTGCATTTGTTGAAGGTCAGAGACAGTGAGATGATGATCTGTGATGCCGTGGGGTGCATTGTGCTTAATGTCACAGGGGTGCAGACAGACAGTGTCTTTCTGGAAGGGGTCCACTGAAATACTTCCCAATACTTCTGCAGGAGGAGGAGGTGAGGAGTTTGTCCATGACTACAGATGTTATCTCCCTCTTGAATTTTCTTCTTTTCAAGATGCTGAGAGCTGTGTAATTCCCTGTTGGTAGTGCCATCCCAAATCCCCTTCAGGCATATTGTGGCTAAGGCTTGGCTGTAGCTTCCCTAGTGAGCCAGGTGCAGGATTGTGTTGAACTGTGTGTTTTCCATGTTGTCTCAACTGCCTTTAACAGAAGGAGGTCCTGGTGCTTGCTCCGTTTCATCTTCAGGCTGAGGCACATAAACTAAAGGTATATTTTGGATCCGTTTTGCTCTCTGGTTCTTGTGGCATTCTAGCTGTGAGCAGTGGTCAGGTGGTGGGATTATCTGTATGGAAGCTGTGAATGTCTTCAACCCTACATATGC